TTGAACATTTTTTCATATATTTATTTACCATTTGTATTTCTTCATCTGAGAAGTGTGTATTCATCTCAGTTGCCCATTTTTGGATTGGATTTCTGAATTTTGGGGGTCTAATTTTTTAAAAAATTTCTTTATATGTTGTAGACAGAAGTCCGTTGTCTGAAGGACAGTTGGCTAAATTCTTTTCCCCAATTTGTGGGTTTTCTTTTCACTCTGTTGGTGATTTCTTTTGATGTGCAAAAACTTTTCAATAAGATGAGGTCCCAGTTGTTGATTCTTTGAAGTATTTCCCATGCAGTTTGGCTTTTGTTCATGAACTCTCTGCCTACCCCTATGTCTTCAAGATTTCTACCTAGTTTCCCCTCCAGTGGATTTACTGTTTCTGTTTTAATATTTAGATCTTTGATGCATTTTGACTTTACTTTAGTGCATGGTGATAGATATGGGCCTAGTTTTAGTTCTCAGCATGTGGAAAGCCAGTTTTCCAGGCATCATTTATTAAAGAGATTATCTTTCTTCAAATGAACATGTTTGCCCCTTTGTCAAAGATAAGGTGGCTGAGTGTGTTTGTAGTTGTGTCTACACCTTCTAATCTGTTCCATTGATCCTCAGGTCTGTTTTTTTTGTTGTTGTTGTTTTTACCAATACCTTGCTGATTTTATCACAGTAGATTTGTAGTATAATTTGAAGTCAGGGATTGTAATGCTTCCTGCCTTGCCTTTGTTCTCCAGGGTTGCCTTTGCTACTTTATGTCTTTTCTGGTTCCAGATGAATTTTAGGAATGGTTTTTCTAGATCTGTTAGGTATGCCAAGGGTATTTTGGTCAGGAGTGCATTAAATCTGTATAACAATTTTGGGAGTATGGCCATTTTCACAATGTTGATTCTTCCAATCCATGAGCAAGGAATATCTTTCCATGTTCTGAAATCCCCTTCAATCTCCTTTTTTAGAGTACTGTAATTTTCAGGGTACAGATCTTTTACTTCCTTTTTTAGATTGATTCCTAAGTATTTCATTTTTGTGGATGCTACTTTGAAGAGTAAGGTTTCCTAATTTCCTCTCAATAAGTTTGCTGTTTGTGTACAGGAGTGCTATTGATTTTTGAGTGTTGACA